ACCTTTTCCACCTGGGCAAGATCCTCGTCCAGCTTATTACTCTTCTCCTGCACCTCGACGAATCGCTTGTCGTGCTTGTGCACCTTGGTGAAAGCGTTGATGAAGGTATCGGCAAAGTTATCGAACACGCCACCGCTCCCTTGATCAGAGGCGACGCTCGTCCTGCCGGCGCGCGCCCTCATCGTGGCATTCCAGTCGGGCGACTCGAGGAAGATGTGGAGAATGGGAGCGCGCCGCAGGATGGGATGGAGCGTTATGCGCGTGAGGAAACGCCGGAGCGAATAGGCCCGGCGGTTCGTGAAGTCTGGTCCGAAGCGGTCCCCGCGGACATACTCCATGCGCTGCTTATCGGGCAGCGGGGGGACGGCGCATGCAGGGTAGTCCTTTGATAGGGTCTTTGAGAGGAAGACGAAGTCGGTGAAGCGTCGGCGGGAGGTGAAGGTCGGTTTCTGGAAGGAAGGGAAGGTTGACTGTGCGCGGATGGCAGGTTAGCGACGTGATGTTGCGATGTGACGGTGTGACGGCGTGACGATGTGACGAGGGTCTGCATCCGCTGGCTCCGAGTGCACACTCACATTTGTGGTTATCAGGTATGATACGAAGGCGTCCTTGGTACCGTCGCTCTCCTTGTGCGGCTCTGAGACGGTGCACTCGAGTATGTCACCGGACAGGCCGGGATCCTGGCGCTCTAGGGCCTGGCCGTGGTGCCGGTCTTCGCTGGTGGGCGGCTCGGCTTCTATGTTGGGCAATGAGGCGCTCGGGTCGGCAGTTTCCCCGCCATCATCGACGTCGCTTTGCCACGAGATGTTAGAGAAGCTGTCTTGGTCGATGACGGCCATTGTGTGAGCTGTGCGAGCTGTTCGTGCTCGGGCTCTGGCTCGGTTGCGGGCAATTTGCTCCCGGGATCTGCGATGGTCGGATCGGATGCGCTGTATCTTCAAGAATAATAACAGTGGCTGTCGTCGGTCATGTGCTGTTCTGATTGTCAGACGGGCCGGTGAGGTCGGAGTTGTGGTGGGGAAATGGTGAAGCCCACACCTCACTGAGAGCTGCACCAACCCCAACCGACCTGTTACGTGGGAGCCTTGCACTAACGTAATGGCTTAGTACCTGTTGGTAGCATACGTCACGCCTCCCCAGGTTAAGTAAGTGCTTAGGTATGTATTGCCCGAATAGGTAAGTGCTTGCCTGGAGGGTAGGGTGGTACAAAGGCGGCTGCAGGTACAGCTTGCTATATGAAGCCTTTAGATAGGCCGCCTTTACCTAGTGGTCTTGACAAGTACAACCTCCCGCTACCTAGATAGTACAAGGAGTCTAGGTGCAGTCTCAAATGCATGTCTGGGATGTCTCGTGCCTCATGTACCAGTAGGTACCGTTCACTGCCAACTCCTGGTTCAGTCCTCCAGAGACGACGTTATTAGATACCCCAAAAGAACATCGAGGGTTGACTGTCTTATTGACAGTGTCTCTATTCTCGATATTGTAATTAAGTGGATAACTAAGTATAAATAGCACATTGATCTTACATGAAGCCAAATCCTCCTATTCGTTCAATACAAAGCCCCTATCATCCCGATTATCGTCAATTACTCGTCCCCATTCCAATAACAACCTGAACAAATACACCTCCATGTCTTCTCTCCTGATCGCTTTCTCAGCCCACTTGCGACCTTGCTGCGCGATCCACCTGGCATCCTCCTCCCGGGTTGGCGTGATCTGTTTTCGCCCATTGAGCGTACCACGCCCGTCCAAGCCGATAAAGTACGACATCGTGCTGTGCAAGGCGTGATAGCGTGTATCGATGGGAATGAAGTGCACCCAGGGCATGAGCCGTTCCGTGAACCACTGCTGGAATATGGAGGAGAGGACCGGCACGCTGTTCGACCCCAGAACCTGCAGGAGGTTCCGTGGTGGCCCGTCGCTGGTATCGAGCAGTATTACATAACGACTATCTACTTCGGTCGCCGGCGGCTCTAACCCGAACTCGTCCCGGATGCGTTCGCAGTTCGCGTCCTTGCAGCCCTCCGCTGGGCCGGCCAAGGAAACATGCAGAGGCAGGATACTATTGGCTTCCGTAGTAGGCACGTCTTCGTATCGAAACCTGCTGTTTTGACCCTTTCCTATCCCTAAAAGCATGGGTATACTGTCCTCATCTGTGGCGTTCTGAATCAGGTGGACCAAGCGCAACCGATGGCTCCCATGAAGTGACTCATGGGTTGCCGTCGGGATTCCCTCAACGTTGCCTTGCCACAGTACAATGTCTAGCTTTTGGTTGAATGTCTTGCTGTCATACTCTTGTTTCAGCCCACCCCGCGAAAAGGGAATCAAAATGTCGTTGAAACTAGCCGTTTTCGACCCACTGAAAAGGGGTAGCAAACTCTGGTACAGCTCGAACCGGTGCGGGATAGTGTGGAATTCGTGGAGGTTGAAGATATCAGGCTGGTGGCACGGGTCGAGTGACAGTTGCCAGTCCTCAAGGAACTGATTCTTGCTGTGAGGCGAAGTACACGACGCGCAGAAGTCTCTTACATCCCAATTGACGCCACTGCGACTCGGCGATCCGGGTGCGCAAGCGAGGGCCTCGAGCTGCCGGAACTGATGCGACGCTATATAGGGCTGGCCGGGATCCGTTGGTATCGTTCGCTTATATAATCCTGCATCCCCCTCAGCGAGGAGGCCCGGATCAGCACGCTTGCCTAGCCGACCGGAGATGAGCTGGAATCCTGGTTGGGTGGCTATCGTTCTTAATTGGTGAACATCATTCCAAGGAACCAACACTCTCGGCCGCTCCTGCAGATTTATAGCAATCTCCATCTCCGGGAGATGCTCCGCAAAGGTAGAAACCATAGTCACGATCTCGTCTAGTATTTCTCGCTGCGAGGCATCAGCCGGGCCATTGTGAGACGCTTTGCCACCAGCAATGCGGATAATCCCGATGTTGGGCTGGCTCTTTAGAAACTCAAGGCCACTTCGAATGTTTTGCGGCCGTAGGTCCCAGAAGGGCAAGATGTCTTTCTCTATCTGATCAAACCTGTCGATCACGACCGATTTCCTCTGCCGAGCGAACTCGAACCATTTGTCAAAGTTCTGTGGCGGCTTACGCCCGTGGTGTCTTTCCCCGTACTCCTGCACCGCGAGCTTCAGGGTTGTGCTCACCGTGGCGTGTCGCAGCCATCGATCCGCCTCTATTCGGTTCTTATAGACAAGATCATCCACGGGATGACGAGTGATCGTCTTTGGTGCTAGATTGACGTAAACCATCGAAGCAATCATTGTACTGACGAGCAGCAATAAGACGAACACGCGTCCTATGAAGACGACAGAGCGCATATTGCCAGCGTATGTGAACATGATGAATCCGAGTGAGATCGTTCCTAATGCGAGGAGGGGACGGGTTGCGGACGTTTGCTGGTACGTTCCGACAAGGAGAATGTTACTAGCACTAGCTAATAACCCGCTAAAAACGGTAGCGATGCTGATGGGCTCGAGAGGGGATGTATCGCATGACATCAAGGACGCAGATATGACCACTGTAGCTACAACTATGCCGGTGCTCAGAGTGTCAAAAATGTAAAGAGGGTTGATACCTCGCAGAGATGGGTGCCCGACTATCTCACCACGCCGTGAAAGCTGTGTCGCCACTAGAGGAATGCATGTTGCAAACGATGTGATTAGCAAGATTCCGCCAAGTGTCCGCAGTCGACTCCTAGTTGTTCGTGCCCACGAGAGGACTCTCCACAAGAGGATGATGATGATTGCCTCGGCGAAAAGGCCGAGCCATTGATTGAATCCTACGAGGGACCCTTGATCCGATAAGGGAGAACAAAAATAAGTAGATCGCAGTGTAAAGTTGCTGGCCCGAAATGCGCCATAGCTGAGAAGAAAGGTTCCGAAAAGCAGTGTAAACGGTGAGCCCACGAGCCAACTCTTCAAGTCCTCCAAAACGCTTCCCCACATCTCTTCGGGCTCATCCGACTCTACCGGCGGTGGACGATGAGAGAAGAATCTATAGGCCACCAATAATAGGGGTAAAAATGCCTATTAAACAAGGTTAGCGACACGACTTGCTTGCCGGCTGTGTGGCGAAGACGGGATACGCACTTCGACGCCTGGGGTGGAACACTGGAAATCATGCAGACTGCTGTAAGAGAGCTCAAGTCTAAAGATTACAAGTACAATGATACAAGGGAGGTACCATCGACGCGGCCGCGGGGGCAAAGACGACAACGACGCCTTTAAAACAGCATCCGAATCTGCACATAACGTTAGGTCATCATCATGGCTTCCACACCAGCAAGGAGAGGGGGTACATACCAAATCTTCCATCGGCTCCGGGTAGCCATTTTGAAAAGAGGCTCACGGCAAACGCCGACAAGCCAGAGATAAGCAACAGCAAGAAGGACGAGAGACGTGGCTGATCTGAGTTACCTCGGTCAGCGAGTCCGCAGCCTGCAGTGAATTAGGAGGTGGTCAATAAGTACTAATCAAGGTGTGTCTCTGCAGTGAGTAGGACAGCCAAGCAAACGAAGCTAGGAACCTTTTACACAGGTTAGCAAGAATGCCCTCATACTGTGAGGTGTGAACGGGGGGTTGAGACTCACCAGACGCCCGTCAACCGCACGCCGCTGTCAGGAGCCATTGGGGCAGCATTGGTGGTGATGGCCTTGCTCGCATCAATTAGTATATCAAAGGAGCGTGATTAAATTGTATGCCAGGTCGTTGCGACTGGTTCGTCGCATGCCATTGAGGAGGAACAAGTGTATCAGCAAATGTTTCCAAATGGAGATCTGCACCGCCTGAGTACCTGTTGGTTATACAGTATGATAGTTAGAAGAAACACTGTATTCCACTGAGAAGATAGGGCGATAAGCCCCTGTAATTAGTGCAAAGTATAGTGTGATATGAGGCGATAATTGTGAGTGAGCATTCTGGTTTGTGGTGAGATAAAATCCTTCAGGTTGGTTCGAACCGTCAGCGAATAATCGTATCGCATTATCACCGGGCGAATGGTCTAGGGGTATGATACTCCCTTCGCATGATACCTGGAGTATTTCAGGCATCTAGATTGGGAGGGGTCCGGGGTTCAATTCCCCGTTCGTCCACTTTTTGTTCCTACTCATAGTATCCTTGCTTTGCTCCGTTCAAATACCTTTTATTCGCTTCATATCGGCTGTTCATAGTATGTCTATACACTCAAAGGGAGTAATTGGGCATTATCTCGAGTGTCTCTTGCTTTTTAAGTTTGGGAACCTTGTAAGTTGTAAGTACCCAAGTTGTAAGTAAGTTGCCCATTAACGTTAGGTAATTTACCAACTATTGATGATTAACAAGCACCTGTATACAGATAAGCAGGGATGGCAACCACGATGGCCGACTAACGTGGGAGGAATGGAATCAAGGCTCGGAAGATCGGCGTTAGAGGCAATTAGTGTACAGTGTAATATGGTAAACAGGGTGGTGCATGATCTTCCTGGTTTTCAGTCCCTCAATGATTTCGATTGATATTTCCCAATGTTCTCTATTTATATGATAGGATTCCTAGTGCTGGTGATTCAGAAGAAGCAAACCATGCCTGGAGGCGGCATGCCTTCCCCCAAGACGTAGCACTCAACCCAGTGTCGGATCGGATCGGAGCAAAACCGTACGACTTGGATAGGGTGATATCAGATACCCCTGCTGTATTCAAAGTATCACAACATACTACAGATACTATATAGTCAGAGGAGAACGAGCAGCAAAGGCTCACCGGGACATTGATGGCAACATCAGAGCCTCAGAGCTTCAGAATAGCTGTCAAGCTATCCGACACCTCTAGTCGCGAATATTTAAACCCTCGAGTCATCCACTTCTCTACTCACTCGGGGACATAGTCTAGTTCATCCGTCAGCCGTATAGCTTCCACCCCTAAATAGGCAAACACCGTCAGCATGGACCCTCTGCGCAGGGCAGCAGCGCAAGCCCTCGCACACCCGGTGAGCCATCGCGTGGTCTACACTGCGGGGGTGACGGCCCTCGTGGCGCTTCTGGCGTACAGTAGACACTGCTACCGGGAGTGGTACGCGCTCGGCGAGGGCGGCATCCCGCGGACGCCCGGGGGCTGGCTCATCAACGTCGCGGCGCACCTCGTCGCGCGGCGGGACCACCGCGCTGTGCCGGCGCCGTACGAGCAGCAACGGGGTAAGAAAGGCACGGCCGCGGTCGGGGAGGGAGGGGAGGGCACCATCATCGCCCTCCCCAGCCGGCACGACAAGGAGAAGTACGACGCGCACACCCGGGCCTCGTTCCTCCCGGCAGCCCTCGTCGGGGAGGCGGACATGCCCATGCTCCCGGCCCACGGCCCCCGGCCCGCGGTCCCCGACACCGTGGTGCCGCAGCGCCAGACGTCGCACACGGCCGGGGCGGCCACGATCGCGGCGCAGGAGGCGTACCTGCGCGCCGTGGCGGAGGCGAACCCGCGGCTCTTCGCCGTGCGGCCGAGCGCCCTCGAGTCGCCCAAGTTCAACGCCCTCTGGCTCGCCGGCTCCCCTTCTTCTCCTTCTGACGAGTCCGACGATACCGCCGCGCATGTCGTCGACCCGGCACGCGTGCGGTGGTTCCCGCGTGCCGCTCGCGGCGAGGTCGCCCACGTGCACGACGAGGGCAGCACCCACGTGTGCCTGAGCCTCGTGGACGCCGCCGAGGTCGTGCGGCGAGGGTGGGGCGAGCGGCACAAGCTCTCCGGTGTCAAGGACATCCTGCCCTGGGGGTACGTGCTCGTCTACGCGCCAAGGGCCGGGGGGCGGGACTGGGATGTCTGGAAGGGCATCGTTGTTGCGGGTGCGCGGGTTGCGGCGAGGAGCGCGGGTTTCGAGGGGGGTATTGTCGTGCCTGAGTGAATGGTTTGCGAGACGAGGATTGCAGGGGGATGTCGGCGATAGGGGGGGGACAAAGATGATGAGTGTCGATGATAGTGGTGATGTGGGATGAAGACAATGTTTCGTGTATTATTTCTGGCGTATTGCGTATTACGTATGTTTGCCTTGCTGGGTTTCTTGTAAAGGAAAAGGGTCATTAACTAACAAGTGAGTGCGTCGCGTGATTAAAGAATCTCCCTGGATTAACAAGTTTTTTCGCTATCATATGATATGTTAACTCCTACAAGAGCTAACTACTGTACGCTACCGATTCATGCACAATAACACAACTTCATCAAACGACAGCGCTTTGAACGGACTAAAAAGTCTCAGGCCTCGCCTGGTCCCGTCGTACTATCTTGACCATGAACAACCCATCGCTGGATGTGGTCGACCCTCCTCGCCCTCCTAATCCTTCTTAGACGGGCCCTCAATATCGATGACGGATTGTATCGTCTTCAAGTCAACCCGAGTGCCAGTAAACGCAGCCCGGCTCTCTGCCGCCTTGAAGATATTCTTGATCTGTCTCCCGTTGAGGTCGTAGTCCGCGAGCGCATAGTACCCATCCGTGTCCATGTCCACGTCTACTGGCTCACCGGAATCGGTGGGCCACAACCGGTAAGCTCTGTTCCAGATCAACAGGCGCGAGCTCCAGCTGAGGGGCGAGTAGCCGACGGAGAGGTTCACGCGCGACTGGAGGACCTCGTTGAACTTGTCTACGCGGTTCGCGCTGAAAATCAGGATGCCGGGGAAATTCTCCATCAGGCGCAGCAGGGCGCCGACCGCACGGTTTGGGTGCTGGTCAGTAAGCGAGGGGCGCTGCAGGAACGCGTCCGCGTCTTCCATAAACAGGATCGCGTTCCACTTCAGGGCCGTCTGCATCTCTCTGGACAGGCCGTTATAGAACGCCGTGCTCTCCATGCCGAGGCTATTTAACGTGACTCGGCGCAGCGGGCGCTGGAGATATTCCGCCATGCACTCGGCCGTCAGCGTCTTGCCCACGCCGGGCGGTCCGTGGAACAGAAAGACAAGGCCCTGTCCGATATCTCTGGGAATCTCTCCCAGGCGCTCCTTCTGCGACTCATGCGATCCAATCATTGCCTCGAGCGTCTCCTTGGTGTCGGTGTGTAGAAGCAGCTCGTCGAAGCATTTCTCTTTCTTCTTCCATGTAATGCTATCCACCTGGTGAACAAAAAATTCAAGGGCCTGCCCGGTGCTGAGCGAGAACCCGCGCACCGTCGAGTTTGTTATGAGATGCTGTTCTTTCGTAAGCGTCTTGTACTCGGGCTCCTCCTCGAATAGTCCGCCGGCGTTGATGCGACTCGCCGCGCGCGCAATGGCACTGTGCTTGTCGCTGACGGCGATCTTCTGGCTTGGGTTGAATATTTTATAGGTCTTACAATCGACCATCTATTCGTGAAGTGGTTAGCGCATGTCCTAGATTCGTCGTGGTTTTATGCCCCCGAGTTTGATGTCGTAAAGGGGGGGGGCTTACGATACGCCCTTTGACGCGAACCTGGGTGATCTCGTCATTTCGCCGTCTAATGGCAATTCCATCGTACTAGGCATGGTGCAATCCAACGAGCATCTCAAATTGCCTACCGCGCGACTGGACATGATCGAGAATCTTCGCAGCATCCGCGCGCAAGGTAAGCGGACTGACATTGAGGCTGTTAATTTCACGGCTCTTGGGATACTCGGGTATGACGAGCTCGGCGCTACGCTGGCCCAAGTAATCGCCGTCGAAGTCAATGAACTTGACGTGCAAGGACAGACAGGACGCCACGGCAGTGCTAGGGCTGTACGCGGTCTTGCAAACCAGGTAGAGACGATGCTGCCCCAGTATATTGGCGTAAGCGAGGGAGTTGAGTGGGAAGAGAGTCCAGAGATGTTTGTAAGAGATGGTCTTCACGCCCCCGATGGTGCAGTCGTTGTGGGCTCTGATGTCACCCTCAAAGGTCTTGTTGATCCAGTCCAACAGCAGGGTTAAATGGGAATTACTCTCCTTATCGTCCTTGAACCGCGTGCGGCCAACCTGCTCTAGGTCCTTACGGTAAAAGAAGAGAGTGTGGAAAGGCGAGGGGATGTGCATGTTCGTCAAGTCGACGTTCTCGTACAAAATTGTGAAGACGTCCCGGGCGAGCTGGCGTAGGGGCTCCGAATTAATATACATCGACGTATGTTCGAATCTGTTTTGCTTGTCGTACTCATCAACCATGCAAATTGCGTGGAATTGCCAGGAATGCTTTTGCTTGGGTTTCACAGAAAGATCTTCCATTCGGTTGCTGATAAGCTTTCCATCCAGGATGCCAGCTCGCTTCTCGAGCCGCTTGATCTCGCATTTCATAGGTTGTTTTACCGGAGCAGATTCAAATACATCCTCGATTGTGGTTTCAGAAATGGCTTTGACAGTGATGAGGTCAGAATCATCATCATCACCATCACCATCAACACTATCAGAACCTTGGTCATCAGGACCTTGGTCATCAGGACCTTGGTCATCAGGACCTTGGTCATTAGAGCCTTGGTCATCAGAAACTTCATTAGAGGAGGGCAGGGGAATCCCCAGCTTCTTACTCCAGACCCGTTGCAGATTAGCAGCATCTATTTTCATTATAGGACGCGGTGAAGAAGGAGCTGAGCGTGGATGCGTGTTGACGCTCCTCCCGTTCGGCTGAGAAGAAGCGGCTGAGCGTGGATGCGTCTCTACACTACCACCGTTCGGCAGTGTAGGAATGGCTGAGCGTGGATGCGTCTTGACACTACCACCGTTTGGCAGTGTAGGAATGGCTGAGCGTGGATGCGTCTTGACACTACCACCGTTTGGCAGTGTAGGAATGGCTGAGCGTGGAAGCATCTTGACACTACCACTGTTCGGCAGTGTAGGAGTGGCTGAGCGTGGATGCGTCTTGACATTACTGCCGTTCGACAGTGTAGGAGTGGCTGAGCGTGGAAGCGTCTTGACAATACTACCGTTCAGCTGTGGCATATCTTGTCCTTGCAGTGCCTCTCCGGGGCTAGAGTCGACAGCAAGATGATCATACCATCCGGGGTGAGAGACACCGGGGCCGACGGTGCCATCATCGGAGTGATCCATTTGAATAAGGGACAAGGCCATACCGAGATATAGCTGAACACTCGAAAACGCGTACCTGTGTTGCAATGATAAGGGCCTGCTTTTCTAATACTCGTCACCAATTGGTATCGAT